TGGATCTTACCCAACACCCAATTACTCTACACTGTTCTCAGCAGGCCTGTAGGGGTTCTCAGTCATTAACTGCTGCTGCGGTGATATTTTTAAATTTAGGGATGTAAAAGAGCCGAACAGAGACTTCAAAGATCGGCTCAAGCAGACAAAATATGAAAATGAAATGTGCAAATATTTGGAGTCGGAGAAAAGGAAAGGAAATTACACAGAAGGCATTTCTCAAGCTGATGGAACAAAAGAAAACTTCAAGTCTTTGTAATCTTTAAGGATATGGACAAAATATTAACCACCTTCAAAGCCTCAAACGAAGGTAGAAGGAAGTCACAGTTACTAAGCCAGAAATATTTGGTTACCTTTCATTCCTCCATATTGGGAGGTATCATATGTATAATCAAGAGTCAGTGGTATTGAAGGAAGAAATAAAAAATAAAAAAACCAACTCCAGAAATTGACATAATAGCAATGGAGGTGTTTCAACAACTAGAATAAATATTGGAAGCCCTCACTCACCCATGCCAAGACTTTGGAAGACTGCTGCCGCCTGGTCAGCTGACTGGAGAGACCCACGTTTGTGCCCATTCCAAAGATAGGTTATCCTACAGGATGTGGAAAATTGTTTAGCAATATCTTTAATATCACGTGCAAGTAGTATTTTATTGAAGGCAATTAATTATTGTAGCAGTGCACCAAGAGACAACTGTAAAAAAATTCAAGTCTCGAACAGTTATTGGGCCCAATCTGATTTTCAACATTTTCTATTTTTTTGGATTTTGTTTGTTCATATTGGGGTTTATTTCAGATGTGTTGAGTCATTGGGATCACCCTCTTGAATTTGTGTTGTATGCCTTTCTGGTTTGCGGTGTATGAAACTCAGGATTGATGAACATATAGGAACAGTAAGTAGAAAAGGGCTACTAGGGGGATATGGTGGTGAGGGGGTGGGGTAAAAGGGAGCCAATGTCAAGAAGTCCAGGAAGGAAAAGAATGTTTGGAACCTGATTGAGGTGGCAGTTGTACCGTAGTGCTGGATGTAATTGAACTATATAGAATGATATGATACATATAATAAATCCAATTTTTTTAAAATTCAAGTCAAATTCAGAAGATGATGTGGAACTCCACTTAAAATAGAGACTAGCAAAAAAAGAAATGTTTGTTTTCATCTTATTAACTATTCCAATGCATTCAAGTGGATGGATCATAAAAATATTGTGGATACTATTGTCAAGAAAATATTATGGCTACTATTGTCAAGGATACTATTGTCAAAAATACTGTGGATACTATTGTCAAGAATGCATTCAATTGGATGGATCATAAAAATACTGTGGATACTATTGTCAAGAAAATATTATGGATACTATTGTCAAGGATACTATTGTCAAAAATACTATGGGTACTGTTGTGAAGAAGTGGAATTGCATGACACTTAATTGTGCCCATGGGAAACCTATACCTAGAGGCGATCGTTCGAACAGAACAAGAGGAGGCGGCATGGTTTAAATCAAGGACGGTGGGCTTCAGTGTTGATTCCTTTCACCGTGCCTAGTCAGTCTGTGTGCTGGCAAATACCCCAAGAGGCTGGTCTCTATGAAGAAGAATGGGGCATGGATTGGAGGCAGGCTCAGTCATCCCTTCGAGGGACGGATGGCACAACTGGCTCGCTGAAAGGGAAGCGGACAAGAGGCATGCGTGTGTAACATCAAGGACTCAGCCTTAACCCTATAATGCCTGAATTTTTAATTTCAGGAAAAAGAATCTTTGTTTTTATCCTTTCCTTTCATAGCTATCAATATATATTAATGTATACATTTTAATTAAATGTTACGAAAATGTCACGCTCGGCGTTATTGGGCTAAGGATGGCTTACAGCTCAATGAAAAGGAAAGAAACATCTTCACAACTGAACTAATAGACAGCATCCAAATAAACAGAGAAGAGTGACAGTTTCAAGGATGTACATGATTTTGCTCGGATCCACCATCAATGCTCATGGGAGCTGGAGTCAAGAAATCAAACATCATGCTTCAGAAAAATCTGCTGCACAAGCCCTTTTTAAAGTGTTAAACATCGAAGATGTGAATCTGAGGACTAGTATGTGCCAGACCCGGACCATGGTATTTTCAGTCCCGTCATATGAATACGAAGGCTGGGCCGTGAATAAGGAAGCTTATAGACGAATCAATGCATTTGAATTATGGAGTTGGGATTAGTGGTTACCCATCGGGCTGCTAACTGCAAGGTAAGCAGTTCAAACCAGCAGCTGCTCCCCTGGAGAAAGAGGGAGTTTCTCCACCTTGCAGTCTCAAAACTCACAAGGGCAGTTCTTGCTTGCCCCATAGGGTAGCTTTAAGTCGGCATCGACTCAATGGCAGCGAGTTTGGTTTTTGTTGTTGTTTTCGTTAGCCAAAGAAATAAACAAATTTGCTTAGGATGAAGTACTTCTAAGAAGCTGGAATGATTCTTAGAATGGAGAATAGGTAGATTTTGTCTCATTCCTTTGGGCATGAGAGGCGGAGGGATCCGTTCCGGGCAAAGAAGCTCCTGTGGGGTGAAAGGAGAGGGTCGATGCAATGGGCATCGTGGCTACAATACATAGACTCAGACACGGCAAGGATTGTGAAGGTGGCATTGACCTTGGTAATGTTTCCATCTGTTGCCCATAGGGTCAGTATGAGTAGGAAGCAACTTGAGGGCACCTCACAGCAGAAATGTAGACAGCAGTGCAATAGGCAACATTTTACATCCCCATCACTCAGAACTACCCCGAGAGAACGATGGGAATGGTTTTCCATGTGACGGGGGAAGCAGAGCCAAACTGCTATGAATGAGCAAAATTGAGCCCATTGTGTACCTTAGCAAAAGGTCTTTTACACCTTTCACTTTTATCATGTTAATTTTTGCACTACTAGTGGCAAGTAGTGAGAGCATGGTGTCAGATGAGTTAGGACTTGTAGTGGCTGTTCTCATAGAATTGCTAATTATTTATATTTTCATGTGATAAGTGAATACTATCAAAAATATAACCATATTTGGATCTATTCCCATCTTCTTAGTTCCTGGGGGTGTGGGGAGTAAAACTCCACCTTGAAATTTGTGTGGAAAATTCTTTGCCGAGGAAAAGACATAGCAGTCAGTGATTCCAAGATCTGAAAACTGTTCTGGGGAATGGAGAGTCGTTTCTTGCCACATCAGTGTAGAAACACAGAAGGATAAGTACATGTATGTTATGTACTTGGTGTACATGTCAAGGGACATGATGGTCTGAATCCTTGATGATCATTGTATTTGTACTTCTAGAATTTCCTGCTGCTTCTTAAGGAGTTGTTTTAGAGAATTGATTTTGTATTGATTTGAAATTATATGCCTTCTTTGAATTTATTGCCCTCTTTACTCTTGAAGTCAAGCAAGACTTGTTCAACTGGTACACGGAGAATAGACAACAGAGAAATAACTACAGGGAGCTACTTAGCAAAAAACACTTTCAGGGTAAAATTCTATCATCTTCATAAAAGATAAAATCGATAGAGCTTTCCACATATGCATGGTACATTATCAGTGCACCGGGTGAGCATACAAGGGGGAAAAAGTAGATTTACACTTCGGGAAAAATAGTGACCCTTCATGTTGTGGCACAGTGGGTTTATTAACTTCAAGGTGGACAGTTTGGCACAGAATGCAGCATTATGAGCATTAAGAGCATGATTATGAAAATCATGGACTAATGGGGACTATGCAAAAGTGATCGTGTTATCAAAGCAACATCTTTCATGACACCTGAGCCGCAGGAAATTGTAAGTGTTCAGTCATTTTCTTAAGAAGATTCCGACTCACGCAGGGCTCCAAGTTGGTCAATCCCCATGGGTGCAGACAGCCTCCTATTGCTCTCTGTAGAGTTCCTGGGAGGTTTGAACCGCTGACCTTGCAGCAAGCAGTCCCACAGTGCCTAATCCAGAGCATCACCAGCGTGCTTTGCTTTTGGATTTAAACACTAAAAAAGGCCTATTCTGGTTGCTTTTTAAAGCTTGCTTGCTTGATTTCATTACCTCTCAAGAAAATAGAAATATCTACAGTTCCCTTAAGGAGCCAGTCTGCCCGTGGTTGCCTACTCATCATGGCAGATCATTTCCTTTGGATGTATGCATTTCTTTGGGTTATGCACTTAATTGTGTCTCTGTGAGGTTGATAGATGAAATTAGTTAGCAGACCCTGAGCTGACTTTCCATATCAGCAACTAGAAACCTTGCAGACAGGAAACCAGTATAGGATTAACCATTTGTCATCAAGATTCTGCAAAGTAATAATCCCAGGATGTATATATGAAAGTTGGTTAGAATAGTAACCTAGGAAGTATTGAAAGTGAATCTGAAGTCTTCCATAGTAAATGCATTCCCATTATTCAACTGCACATGGCTTCAGCAATCTGAGAAATACCTCAAATTTTCCCCTGACTGCTTAGCTTCATTTCAGCTTTCGAAAAAGATATTTACATATTTTCTGTATTTTAGTGTTAAATGCATGCATGTGTGGTTTCCAACATCTTTTAAACTGAAATTGTAATGGAAGAAACAGCAAATAAACAACAAGAACATGAATAATTTGTAGAAAGTTAGTTAGGTTACTGTTAAAATAGGTTAGAGGTAGGTTAGTGTTAAAATAACAAGGCATTAATAAAGGCAACTAAAATGTTTGAATTGTTTATTTTACCATTTACTCGATTTTATTTTATGATCTCTTGAAAATAATAATCCCTTCTACACAGTTAAAATAGCACTTTTTTTTAGATAACTGATTGACCAATCTACAAGACACTTCCAATTCATGTAAGGATTTATTTGTTCCCAAATCGCTTTTGTTCATTAAACAAGAAAGTTTTCTTTTCTTTTCTTGCATGCAATGTTATTTTCAAAATCTGGCCATAATAATGTTGGAAGAATTTTAATTAAAATATTATCTTGCCTTCTTTTCTTAACATTCGTTTCTGTTTTTCATCGTTACAGGTTTCATATACACTGGAGAAGTGGTACATCGAATGCTGACAGCCACGCAGTACATTGCTCCCTTAATGGCAAATTTTGATCCCAGTGTGTCCAGAAATTCAACAGTCAGATATTTTGATAATGGTATGTCCAGATTAACCTTTTTTTCCTCTCCGTATCTCTTCTTCTCCTTTCCCCTTTTTTTTCATCTTCACACCCTCCCTTTATCTCTACTCCCCTCCCTCCCCTCAGCACCTCTTTCCTTCTTTACGTAAGGACTGTCTGCTTCCTTAAAGTTTTCCAATCTCAAAACCCCCTGATAGCAGTCCGTCTCTGTCCTACAGGGTTACTCTGAGTCAGAATGAGCGCAATGGCATTGTAGCTTTTTGAGGACACTTGTAAAGGAGCGGTGATGCTCCTGACGGCTATCAGCTCAGTGGTTGAAACCCACTGGCCAATCCCTTGGAGAAAGAGGGGCAGTCTGCTTCCATAAAGATTGCAGCCTGGAAACTCTCATAAAAATGTGATGGATGGCAACAGGTTTGGGATTTCAGGATGCTTTTAAATGTCAAGTTAATATTATTTGTAAACTGGATTTTTTATTTTTTATTTCTATAGAATGGATTTGCAAATCACTAATACAAATCCCCTAAGAATGTTTTAGAAATATTTTCCCAGGCTTTAAACCACAGAATAGTGCCGACAAAGATGTCTCAAGTATACTGACAGTGGTCTATCTCTGTTAATTCTTTGGGGGATATATAAGATACTCAGAAGAAGCCTAGATTGTGTCTCTGACCACTCCCTTCACCTGCCTGTCCCACCTGCCCGTCCCAACACACAAACCCACTGCCACAGAGTTAACTGTGGCTCATAGTGACCTTACAGGACCCAGTAGATCTGCTCCTTAAGGGTTTCCTCGGATATAAATCCTTTTAGGAGCAGATTCCTCTTTTTCCTGAGAAGCAGCCAATGTGTTTGAACCATTGACCTTGTGTTTTCAGCCCAATGGGTAACCCCCTGCACCACCAGGCTTTGACTATGTTCCTAGCTTCTACTAAAATCCAAGTAGGCCACTCTTACAGGCACACTCGATGCTTTCTTGTCTACACTGTATTGAAATGCTGAAAGCTAGAGATAGAAAAGAAACTAAGTAGAGTTTGATTTGGAGAAAGTAAAGGTCATAATCTTGGTACTTTTCACAGTACAAAATTAGCATTTAGTTGTCTGAATTACAAATTAATCGCTTAAAATAATAGAAGCATTTGATGGGAATGCAGCTGTTTCTTGTCTTAATTCTGATAAATACTCCAGGAGGCACTTTGCTAGTGAGTGGTACAGACTTGATGGTGGCAGCAGCCTTGGGGGAGTGTCATTTTGCTGAAAGCAATCTTCTCACCAGTGTGATGAAGGCATTTTATAGGAGAATCTGACAAAGAAAGAAGAAAATTGAATGTAGTTTAATATACCTGGGGAAGTAAATTTTGTGTACCTTGGGAACCAACATGGGATCCAATGTTTGTTGTTGGAAATTGCTCTGGAGTGTGTTAGGACTCATGGAGAGCCACGAGTGTAGAGTGTAACTGCACTGGAGAGTTTGCAAGCCCAGCCTTTCGGATGCACATGTATCTCCAGGGCTGGGTTTAGGTGCCTCTGGCAGGCCTGGAACTATTAACCTTCAGCTAGCAGCTGAGCACTAATGCCTGTGCCACCCAGGGGCTCCACATCGTACCCCTGTTAGCCACATCATACCCCTTGCCCCTTTATTTTTAGAATTTGTGATGATCTACCACCCCACTTTAAAATATACATTTATATATATGAGGTACTTAGGCCCCAGGTTGTTCAAGTCGATTATAAATTAAATGTGGCAGGACGATAACTGGGACCTTATCAGAAGCTTGTCCCCTGACCTCCCGTATTGAATCACATTAGGATGCACAGTAAGCAACCAGTAAATGACTTTATAAAAATGGATTATGTTCTAAACTCTATCACTTACTAGGTGATGTTTGGAGCATTTCTGGGTGCAGGATTGTGACAAACAAATGCTTATGTTAGCAACATCAAAATCTTAAATATATACTCAATAAATCTCCCCAGCCACAATATATTATCTCACAGCACAATGTACCTAATTAGCATCTAGTATTTCAATTTTACTTTTATCTTAATGATTTTTTTTAAATTAATATGTATTAACCAGTAGTTCTCAACCTTTCTAATGCCACGACCCTTTCATACAATTCCTCATGTGGTGGTGACGCCCCAACCATAACATTATTTTCATTTCTACTTCATCACTGTCATTTTGCTACTGTGATGAATCGGGCGACCCCCTTGAAAGGGCCATTCGACCCCCAAAGGGGTCGCAACCCACAGGTTGAGAACCTCTGCTCTAGACAGTCTCCAGATTCTTTGAAAGAAAAAAAGCAAACCAAACCCAGGGTCGTCCAGTCAGATTTGACTCAGAGAGACCCTGTAGGACCGAGCAGACCTGCCCCTGCGGGTTTCTGAGGCGGTCACTCTGGAGGAGAGCCGAAAGCCTCCTTTCTCCCACGGAAGAGCTGCAGGTCACAGCCAGGCACAAGTCACCCTGGAGACCACCAGGGCTCCTTCACAGCGAGAGGACTGTGATAGACGTCAGAAATCATCATCTTCAATCCCTGGTACCTGGAAGACTCTGGGTAATTAATCAATCATTAAATAAAATATTTAAGAAGAATATTTAATGTTGAGAATGACCCTAAGAATTAATACTCAAATCAACATAGGTAACTGTTTGTAATATCTTCTGTGCAGTAACTACATACTATGGAGAATGAGTTCCGAGAATATAATAGTGGAAGTTGAGTAATTCTGTTTTAGTAAATGAATGAAGCACCTTTGGACCTCGTAAGACGCTTCACAAAGTCCTCTTTATGCATCACAACTTGATGGAATATTTTTAACTTTAATTGAATGGGATCGTTGACAAAATTCTTAAAGGTGGAGATTTCAGCCTTTCATGAAAGTTTCTCTAGACTGGAGAGGCAAAAGCAGGTTGAAAATTTTCTTCTAAGATGTTTTCTTGAGAAGAATCCACCAACCCCGTTGCCATCCACGAGGCATTGACGTAGGTGCACTCTATGAGGCCGAGAAAGGCTGCCCGGAGGGTTTCCAAGGCTGGAATTGTCAGGGAGGCAGATTGCCCGACCTTTGGCCAGCAGAGGGGCTGCTGGGTTCACACCCCAGACTGCCTCGCACTTAATTACTGTGCCCCTAGGCTTCCATAAGTTGCAAATAATAAATGAAGATGAAGTGATCAGTTGTATAATCTGATATAGAATTTTTTAAAATCCAATCGGTGACCCTCAGTAGTACAGACCTCTATGCATTTTCGGACATAACAAATTGGCATGCATTGCTAATCAGGTCATTTAGTTGTGGCCTAATGAGCAAGCTGCAAACGTGGAGGAAATCAACTCAGGTCTAACGATCAGGTGGGCTGGCGCGCCAACTGAGGCAGTCTCGGATGTGTGCCTTTCTAATAGCCGTGTATCTGGCAGGAGGAGCTATGCCGCTAGGTTTTTGTGCCTTTCCCCCTCCTCCTGGCTCTCAGTCAGGAATCAGGATGGACCCCAGGAAGCCAGGTCTGTGGAGATTCACTTCTTCACCCCAGGGATTTTCTTGACAGCTTATACCTGTATGGCAGAGTTTTCCAGGTATTAAGAGCTACCTGGAGAGTAATATTTTGGGTAAAGGGGCTGATTGGAGAACTAAAATAATTAAATATAACCCCCCTCCCCAAACTGCTCCCACTAATTTTCAAATCCTAAAGTTTGAGGGTTCAACATGTTTAAAATAAAAATTAAACTTGAAATTTTAAAAAAATATTTGTTCAGAGATGCAGGGCAGCTCTACTCTGTCCCATAGGATCCCTGTGTGTTGGAATCAACTTGATGGCAGTGAGATACAATCTGGGTTCTCCTCCTTCTCCTCCTTCTCCAGGCCCTCTCCTCTCCTCTCCTCTCCCCTCCCATCCCCTCCCCTCTCCTCAAAATAATAGAAGCATTTGATGGGAATGCAGCTGTTTCTTGTCTTAATTCTGATAAATACTCCAGGAGGCACTTTGCTAGTGAGTGGTACAGACTTGATGGTGGCAGCAGCCTTGGGGGAGTGTCATTTTGCTGAAAGCAATCTTCTCACCAGTGTGATGAAGGCATTTTATAGGAGAATCTGACAAAGAAAGAAGAAAATTGAATGTAGTTTAATATACCTGGGGAAGTAAATTTTGTGTACCTTGGGAACCAACATGGGATCCAATGTTTGTTGTTGGAAATTGCTCTGGAGTGTGTTAGGGCTCATGGAGA